CCTACAACTCCAGCTCCAGGGATCCGATGCTCTCAGGGCCTCGGCTGGAAACTGCACACATGAGGCGTAAACTCACAAAGATACAAACACATACACATAAGTGAAATAAAAATAAATCTCTATATAGGTTTGTTTTTATTGTGCATGTAAGTACATTTGCCACTGAGGAAGTCTCACCTGCAGTTCCTCAGTCTCTGCTGCCCTCTTGTGGCAAGATATGACACAGCGGCCAGCTCTCAACTAGGCAGCTGCCCATTGATTTCCCTGTTACACCCTTTGCAGAGCTTTGGCAGAGGTGTGACCAGGACTCCCCTCTCCCTCTCCTCACTCCCACGTCCTCTTCTGCACAGACAGCCTCATTCTGACACAAACGACCTCCACCCACTCCTCATCCACCCCCCACAAAGCTCTTCCCTCCCCCCAACCCTCACCTCCCCACCCTCTCCACCCCTCCATCCTGCCCTCCATTGTCCCTTCACCCTGCATTCCCCTCCCTCCCACAGCTCCCAAAAGGACTGATGGGCTGATGGGGAGGAAGGCTGGACACTGTGCCCAGCCTGAGCATAGGAGGAGATGCTGGTCCAGATGCTGTGCACACCTTACTCTGTGCAACCAGGAATCCAGCTTTCCCTCAGCACCAGGTTTTACTTCAAAACAGTCAGTAGAATTACTAAGTAAAATTGCTACGATGTCCAGGACAGTTAAATTTTTCTATAACAGACCAAATACACATTCTCGTCCACTTATATCATCACAACTCAGTGCTGTCTTGTGGATACCAAGGCAACCCTTGGTATACAAATCAGTGAACACCATACAAATCAGTGAATACCATGGGGTTACAATAAAACTTTATTTGTGGATGCTGAAATTGGAATTTCATCTTTTTACATAGCACAAAGCACTGTTTGACATTTGACATTAAACATAATCATGAGTTCACAGGCCACAGAGAAACAGTCAAATTCAATTTGTCTCAGTTATTTTTTTCAAACTCTCACTTGAAGAAACACAATTATTAATAAACTGACAACATAATAAAAAGGAAGTTCTTTTAAAGTTTATCTAATTACATTTTATGTATGAGTGCTGTCTTAGTTAGGGTTTCTATTGCTGTGATGAAACACCATGACCCAAACACAAGCTGGGGAGGAAAGGATTTACTGGGCTCACACTTCAGCATTGCTGCTCAGCACTGAAGGAAGTCAGGACAGGAGCTCACACAGGGCAGGATCCCAGAGGCAGGAGCTGATACAGAGGCCATGGAGGGAGACGCTTCCTGACTCAGCCTGCTGTCTGAGAGAACCCAGGACACCAGCCCAGGGCTGTCCCTAGCCGCTGTGGACCGGGTTCTCCCTCACTAATCACTATTGAGAATGAGCCTTACTCCTGGATCTCACGGAAGCATTTCCTAAACTGAGGCTCCTTCCTCTCTGAAGACTCTAGCTTATGCCAACCTAACATACAAACCATCCCTATTCAGCCACAACCCTCCCGTTCTTATTCCTCCCCAAGATCTCACATGGAAATCATAAATAATTTTAAATGTCCAGACTTTACAAATATAACATAATAAAGGTTCAGTCTCTTTAAAACATCTAATCTCTTTAAACATTCAAAAACTCTTTTAAAAGTTCAAGTACTTCATCTATGGGATTCTTTAAAATTCCAAAGTAGGCCAGATGGTGGTGCACACCTTTAATCCCAGGATTTGGGAGGTAGAAGTAGGTGTATCCCTGATACACAGAGAAACTCAATCTTGAAAAAGGAGAGAGAGAGAGAGAGAGAGAGAGAGAGAGAGAGAGAACCTGGGCACTGTCCCAATCTAATCCGAGCAAAGCCAAACTCAGCAGTATAAAAACTCAGTTGAGTTGTCTGGGATTCACTCACAACCTCCTGGACCCCTGCAAAGGGCTATGGTCTCTTCTCCAGCTCTGCCCGCTACAGCTCACACAGCTCCTCTTCTAGGCTCCGGCTGCTCCACTCACTGCTGCTGCTGTTCCTACTGATCTTCCATGGTGCTGGTGTCTCCAAAACACCAGGGCTGCACTTCCACCAATGGCCTCTCACAGGGTCTCATGGTGCCAAGCCTCAAATCCTTGTCATGAGCCCTTCAGTCCTGGGCCTTCAACTGCCACTGAGGCTGCACCTTCACCAGCGGCCTCTCCTGGCCTCTCACAGTGCAGAACCTCACCTACCCTCCATGACTCCTTCATGCCCTCAAAACCAGCACCACCTAGGTGACGCTCACACGTTACCAAATCCGCATTGGGACTGTTTGCACAGCTGGCAGTTGAAAAAAAAGCAGGAAGCAGTTTTGAGAGAACTATGCCCATATTCCCAAATATTGTCTATAAATGTTTGTTTACATTTAAAGGGGGAGAAGCTATGGAGATGGATACTCTGCATTGCTATGGCGCTTGCTCTATCAATACAAATTTAAGGTCAATTTTGTTACATTTCTGCTCATGGTTAAAGTATTGGGTTTGTACAGCTCATTTTAAAATGTACTGTATAATAAAGACAAATAGGTTAGTAGATAATCATCTATAATAGTCAAGCTGGTAGTCATGTTAGGTTTTCTAAATATAGAGAGATATATTTCAGTTAGATGGGTATTCTTCGAATCTTTCAGAGACCTTCAGAATATGACATTTAAAATGTTTTAAAAGCTTAGGACTTTTCATGAGAATGAGACACATCTGCACTTGGAAGCACAAAAAGCTTCAAGAGGAAGATCGGCACCAAAGAGGCTTTGTATGGAGTTTGCTAGCCATTTGGGCAAGAGATTGTTCTTGTCTGGACTGCTTGATGTTATGCTGTATGAACTGGACATGCAGAACCCACAGAAAAATGACTGCTAAAGCTGCCTAAGGAAGGTGAGATGATCCTTTGGGGTTCCTGCTTCATGGAAGAGTCTGCCAGACATTCTGCAGGACACAGAAGAAAGTGACTGACAAACTGCTAACTGGCAAAACTGTTTTGGAAATTTCCTGCTTCATAGGAAAGACTGCCGGATACAATGGGCCTGTGGGCTGAAGATGGATGCCCCAGTGATACAGAAGAACTTTGGGTGACTGTCCAGGCAGTGAAATGTCTTTGTCAATTCTACAGTTTTGGAAGTTGCTTACAATGCACTTCCTGTTACTTAGGTAATAGTATTTCCTTCTGAAATCTTAAATGGAGTTGAAGAATAGATAGTTATAGTTTTCCTTAGTTATAATAAAAGATAAAGGAGATAATAATACTGTAACTGTAAATCTTGCTTGATAACTTGTTTTGGTATATATAATTTTACTATGTTAAAGTTAAAACCTTCCTTTTTATTTAAACAGAAAAGGCAAAATGTTGTGGGAAGTCCTTTTGTCTATGTGTTGCTTTTATTGGTTAATGAATAAAGAAACTGCTTTGGCCTATAGCAAGGCAGAACTTAGCTAGGCAGGGAAAACTAAATTGAATGCTGGGACAAAAAAGGGGGAGTTTGGAGAAGCCATGGAGCTGCTGCCAGAGTCAGACATGTCAAAACTTTGCTGTTAAGGCAAAGTCACATGGCAATACACAGATTAATGGAGATGGGTTAGTTTAGAATATAAAAGTTAGCCAGACATATACTTAAGCTATTGGACAAACGGTATTGCAAATAATGTGATTTCCGTGAGATTATTTCAGGAGTCTGGGTGGCTGAGAAACAAACAAGCAGCCTCCTTACAACAAAGACCCATGCTCAGGATCTCACCTGTAAACAGAGACTTTGCTCTTCACTCAGGATCGTGTCTTCACAGCCTGTGCTTACACTCAGACTCCTAGGGTTTCTTCCCAGATGATCATCTGTGGCTCCAGGTGCTTGTGTTTTACACAGATTTTCATTCCATAGCCCTGAGACTACCTTGTGGACCTGGGTCATTGTCTCAGCCCAGTAGACCCCTTCTCCATGGGAAGAGACCCCTGTGAAGACCAAATACAGCAGGGCTGACCCTGTCTACACTTCACGGTTCCCTGTGTGCACACACTTCCATGGTACAGTTACTTTAGGAAATAAACCACAGTAAGTAAGAGTTAAGAGTAACTAAATATAAAGCAGAATAAATGATAGTGTGGTAGAAGTTACATAACATGTGGCCCTATCTCTCTCTCTCTCTCTCTCTCTCTCTCTTTGTGTGTGTGTTTCTCCCTCTCTCTCTCTCTCTCTCTCCCTCTCTCTCTTTTCCCTCTCTCTCTCTCTCTCTCTCTCTCTCTCTCTGATCTTCGCTCTCACTTTATGAGCTGATGAGATGAGGGAGATGAATGTCACAGACTTGTGGGACACTGGACTTGATAACAGTTTACTTCTGAGTTCCTCAGGCCTGTACAGTGTGGACAGAGGGTGATTCTCACAACAGAGTAAACACTAGATATTCTAGGTTGCATACGGTTCAGTAGTGTGGAGAAAAATTATATGTATTATTTTTTTTCTGGAATTTTTTACTTGATGTCTTCAAATCTCAACGAAACAGAACTTAAGTAGAAAGTGAAAGCAGAGGTGAGCAGGGCCTCCTTCCTGCAGGGAGAGTCACATATGACACAATGTGTCGAAAGTGCTTAATTAGAGCTGTAAAATCTCCAGTCACCTCCCCATGCAGGTGTCCACAGCAGCCCCGCCCCCTCCAGGACTCCGACAGCACCTGTTTCCGTGAACATTCATTTTAAGTGCTGTGTGTATTTTACCTGGAATCTTCATGCTCTCAGGTTTCATCCTGACTGAGGAAGCAGTTGGCGTCAGGCAGCTCAGAGACACCATGACACACAGCGCTCCATCCCGCAGCACAGGGCTCAGACAAAGTCTTAGTCCCCAGGAGGGTGAGGCCCGGGTGGGGAAGCCCAGCGCTGGGGATTCCCCTGTCCCCAGTTTCACTTCTCAAGCTCCTAACCTGGGTCAGATCCTTCTGCCCAGACACTGATGACAACTTGGTGGTTCTCACCCCCATTGGGTGACGAGATCCAGGAGAAACAACCAGCGTCGCCGCGGTCACCGGTTACAAAGTCCACGCAGACCGCGAAACTTAGAGTCGCCACAGATCTGAGATGGAGCCGATGGCCCCAAGCACGCTACTCCTGCTGCTGGCGGCCGCCCTGGCCCCGATCCAGACCCGCGCGGGTGAGTGCGGGGTCGGGAGGGAAACGGGCTCCGCGGGGAGGGCGGGGGCGGCACCGGGGAAGCTGCGTCCCCGCGTGGCCCAGCCGGACCCTCCCGCCCCTTCTCCACCCGCGTCCCGAGCCCCGCGCCCAGCTGCCCTCCCGGCCCGCGCTCCTGCCCGGGGTCCCGGGAACAGGGTCGGGGTCTCACCGCGCGCCGCCCCCAGGCTCGCACTCCATGCGGTATTTCTTCACCATCGTGTCCCGGCCCGGCCTCGGGGAGCCCAGATATGTGGAAGTCGGCTACGTGGACGACACGCAGTTCGTGCGCTACGACAGCGACGCGGAGACTCCAAGGAAGGAGCCCCGTGCACCATGGATGGAGCAGGAGGGGCCAGAGTATTGGGATAGGAGCACACAAAGAACCAAGAACCGCGAGCAGACTTTCCGAAGGAACCTGAAGACCCTGCTCAGCTACTACAACCAGAGCGAGGGCGGTGAGTGACCACGGTGGAGGTCACGACCCCCTCCACGTTTCCACGCACGGGCCGGAGTCGCCCCGGGTCCCAGGTCCGAGGTTCGGGAGGAGAGCGGGGACCGGACCTGGTTTCCCTTTCGGTTTAGAGTCCGCGGGTGGGCGGGGCCGCGGGGCGCGGGCGACGGGGGCGGGGCGGGTGGGTGACGGGGGCGGGGCGGGACAAGGCTGTTGCGCTGGCTGACCCCCTGGTGGGCGGGGCCTCAGGTGACCCCGGGGCCTAACAGGTGGGCGGGGCTGACCGCGGGGTCCCCGCAGGCTCCCACACCATCCAGCGGATGTTCGGCTGTGACTTGGGGTCTGACGGGCGCCTCCTCCGCGGGTACAATCAGCACGCCTACGATGGCCGCGATTACATCGCCCTGAACGACAACCTGAAGACGTGGACGGCGGCGGACACGGCGGCGCAGATCACCCAGCGCAAGTGGGAGCAGGATGGGGTTGCAGAGGGATGGAAGGCCTACCTGGAGGGCCTGTGTGTGCAGTGGCTGCGCAGACACCTGGAGAAAGGGAAGGACACACTGCTGCGCACAGGTGCGGGGCCGCGGGCAACTCCTCCCTCTGCCCTCGGGCTGGGCTCAGTCCTGAGGAACAGGAAACCCTCACTGGGGTCATTCCCCTGTCTCTGAGGGCAGACAGGGTCTCTGGGTCTCCTGATCCAGCATGGCAGGGACTGCACTGACCTCCCAGGGCTCAGCCTTCTCCCTGGACAGTTCCACATCTGTCTCAGGAGGGAGGAGAGAGGATCCCGACATCACCAACAGTGGCTCCTTCAGTCTGCAGCCCCTGTCAGCCATGGCCTCTCCCAGGCCAGGTTCTCTGTCACACCCAGTGTGTGTGGACACCAAGTCCTGTTTTGTCATCTGAGTGTGTCAGCCTTACACACCAGGACCGGAGTCTCCTTCACCTGATGGCTCCCCTATCCTAGGCTGCTTCCCCAGTTTCTAGAACTTTCCAAAGAATAAATCCTCCCAGATTCCTGTGTGTCAGGTTTGCATCCATCCCACACCCCAATTCTATCGCTTCCTACATGGGGTGCCCTGAACAAATAGTAAATTGTGGGTAGTTTTTTCTTTCTTTCTTTTATTTTCTTCTCTTCGTTTCTCTCTCTCTCTCTCTCTCTCTCTCTCTCTCTCTCTCTCTTTCTTCTTGTGGTCATTTTGCTTTAAGTTTTTCTTCCTCACTCGGACGGTATGCTTTCTCTCCCTCCCCTGTGTTATCTTGTGTTACAGTCTCCACAGGTGCCATGGGATCTGATACTCTAGATAATGAGACAAGTTAAGTCAGGGTTCCCTTTAAATAAGAAAGATTCCTGGGAGCTTAGACTATTTTCTGCCAGAATTAACCATCCAGAGACCCCTGCTCTCCCTCTGACCCAACAAGTTACAGTGTTGCCCTAGTGAATTAGGAACTGAACTTCGTCAGAGACAGGGTCTTCTGCAATCCAGGACTGGAGTGACAGGGAAGAGCCACACACCCTGTGAGCACCGCTGTGTCCCAGTGAGTGCTGCACTGGGCTCCACAACACACTTCAGGGATGCTGGGTGATAATACCTGGTATCTTGTCCCCCAGAGGCAGGGGTTAGAAAGTCATTTTCTCTGGTTGAGTGTCACAGGTTCACCTCAATTGTTCCACACAGTTTGGTGATGGGTGTTCACTTGGATTCACAGTTAAACGGGTCAGCAAGATGGCCACAGTGCTTGTTCCCCAATGGTGGCAGCAGGAGTTGGTGGCACCCTTCATGTAGCCCGATCATCTTAATTTCTTATTCCTGTAGGAGTTTAATCACAAAATAAATCAATTATTTTCCATTCCTTCATCCTTTTTCTACCTCACTTATGCTACAGAACATCACATTAGGAAGGCCATGGTGACCTGCTGGCTCATGTGATTCCCTCTTGGCTTCTGGGTCTCCCACGAAACTCTACCTGCAGGTCACTACCGTGATGTCAAAAGTGTTCAAACAGACACACAGTTCAGTGTCATCATTGATTTAACTTTGTCTTTGCAGATTTCAGTTTACCTTGTTGATTGTGGGATTTCTTTAATCTTCCACACAGATCCCCCAAAGGCACATGTGACCCATCATCCTGGACCTAAAGGTGATGTCACCCTGAGGTGCTGGGCCATGGGCTTCTATCCTGCCTTCATCACCCTGACCTGGCAGAGGGAGGAGGAGGAACAGACTCAGGACATGGAGCTGGTGGAGACCAGACCTACTGGGGATGGAACCTTCCAGAAGTGGGCATCCCTGGTGGTGCCTTCTGGGGAGGAGCACAAATACACATGCCATGTGTACCATGAGGGGCTGCCTGAGCCCCTCACCCTGAGATGGGGTAAGGAGGAAGTGGGTGCAGAGCTGGGGTCAGGGAAAGTTGGAGGCTTCTACAGACCCTGAGCAGGGTCAGGGATGAGAGCTGGGGTCATGACCCTCACCTTCCCTCCCTGTCCTTCCGTTCCCAGAGCCTCCTCAGTCCACGGTCACCATCATCGCAGTCATTGCTGGTCTGTTTCTCCTTGGAGCTGTGATCATTGGAGCTGTGGTGGCTGTTGTGATGAAGAGGAGGAGAAACACAGGTAGGAAAGGGCAGGGTCTGAGTTCCCTCTCAGCTCCTTTTAGAAGAGTCTCTGCCTCATCAATGGGAAACACATCCACACCCCTCATTGCTGTTGTCTCTACCCTGGGTCTGCTGTCAATTCTGGAAACTTCCTAGAATTGGGGACTTCCCTGGTCTCTCACAGCTTTTCTTCTCACAGGTGGAAAAGGAGGCAACTATGCTCCAGCTCCAGGTAAGAGTGGTGGGCAGGATTGTCCCTGAGGCCTGTGAGGTGAAGCTGGAGTATTTGGGGAGCTCTGGCAATACATAATAGCTCCTCCAGTAAATCTTCTAGGGGACAAATTTTTCCTTCCCATGAATAAATATATTTTTACCCCAGGCAGGGTCAGTTCCCAGAGCTCCGATGTGTCTCTCCCAGACTGTAAAGGTGACCCTCTGTGACCTTATTTGGGGAGGAGCAGAGTGGATATGATTGGGTTTCAGGGACTCCCAGAATCACCTTTGAGTGAGTGGTGGGTTGTTGCGGTGTTGTCTTCACAGTGATTGTTCATGACTCTTGTTCTGTAGTGTGAAGACGGCTGCCTGGTTTGGATGGAGTGACAGACAATGTGTTCAGGTCTCTCCTGTGACATCCAGAGACCCCCAGTTCACTCTCAGCAATAGTGTCTGATGTTCCCTGTGATCCTATGGGCTCAATGTGAAGAACTGGGGAGCCCAGCTCACCCCTGCACACCTGTCCCTGTGCCTGCACTGTCCTGTTCCCTTCCACAGCCAACGTTCCTGTTCCCGCAGACAGGAGGGGACATCTCCATCCTGTCTCCTCCATGCTGTCCTGAGCTGCAACACTGACTTCTCCACTTGATGGAGGAAGGTCATTGGTAATAAAGGAACTGCCTTGGCCCATTTTATTGGTTAGAGGATAGGTGGGAGGAGTAAACAGAACAGAACGCTGGGAGGAAGAGGAAGTGAGCTCAGACTCCAGGGCTCTCCTCTCGGGAGCAGATGCCTGAGAGAGACGCCCTGCCCCGCTCCCGGGATGAAGCTCCGACCCAGGATGGACATAGGCTAGAATCTTCCTGGTAAGCGCACCTTGGGGTGCCATACACAGATGATTATAAATGGGCTAAATTAATATCTGAGAATTAGCCTAGAAGTGAATGGGCCTAGCACTGTTTAAATGAATACAGTTTGTGTGTTGTTATTTCGGGCATAAGCTAGCTGTGTGGGCGGCTGGGGTGCTGGGGACGCAGCCCCGCCGCCTTTATTACTACATCCACTGAAAATAGGAATCTGAATGTGAACTTGATTGTTAATGTCCTTGATCTCAAAGGTTGATTGGTGGTAAAATAAAGGATTGTACTAGAGTTTGTGGAGGAAATAAATGGCAGCGTGGAGAACCTCCCAGAATCTGTGTTCACTGTGCTGTGTGCATCTGGTGGGACAGGATGAGGCTGTGGGAGCTGAGTGAGAACAGAGCTGTGCATTGTTGGCATTGATAAGGTCACTGGTCAACTCTGTCACTTCCTGGCTCTGTTCTCTTCATCACTTAGAACCACATGTTGACATCTGTGATCACAGGGACACAGGGATGGCCAGAGCCTCCTCCTGTCCCTGGGATTATGAGCCGCCAGGGCTGCTGTGACAGTCAGGGCTGCTGTCCTGGCTGTGACTCTTTCCCCGGTCTTCTCTGTTAATTTCTTGTCTCTTTAGTTAGTATGGAGAACTAGGCCTGTTCCTGTTCCTGTGAATGGTGTCTGCTTAATTATCCTGTGGGGTCCCTGAGTGACAGCATTAAGAGGTGTTTTCCATCCCTGTCCCCTCAAGGCCCAACTAGGCCCCTGCACTCAGGAGACTGTGGGATGAGAACATGAGCTTCAGTCTCCTGAGCTCCTGCCTCCCTTCCGGCCCCTCCTTGGAGGTTCTCTCCTTTCCCATCAATCAGAATCTAACCTGAGTTGTAGGATGGGCAGAGAGGAGGGATCCACAGGGTCTCATCTCAGATCTGTCCTGTGTTCTGCCCAAGGTCCCCTCTCCCTCTCTGCCCCTGGGAATCCTGGTGCTTCCTCCAGTGGAGACTCAAGGATTTACAGGCTGAGCCTACTTTAGATTTATGTTTATTAAAAAACATGATCCAGGGACTGGAGTGATGACTCAGGGCTTGAGAGCACTTGCTGCTCTTGCAGAGGACCCAGGTTCAGATCCCAGCACAAATGATGGCTCATAACCATCCTTAACATCCATGACATCCAATGCCCCTGTCGACACCATGCAGATACATGGTGCAAACACTACTAGCAAAAGACAAAAAAAAAAACAAAAAAAACTCATAGATGCAACATTCATAAATTAAAATAAAATATTGTGGGGAATGCCAGAGATGGAAATTCCTTCATTCCCGGCCTCTGCAGTTTTCTCTTCTAGCTTTGTGACGTCCAGGAGCCCTAGCAGAGATGTCTGATGACCAAGGAGGTGATCATCTCTGTCATGGGGCTGCCATCTTTGTCTTGTGAGGGATCATGGATCCCAGTGCTGACCACAGATAACATTCATACTCAATAAGTATATGATGAATGAAGAAAAATTAAAAATGAAATATAAGATTGCTTGTCAAAGAAGAGAGATTAAGGGAAAATGGTGGGACTTTCTGAGGGAAAAGTCAGGTGACTGTGACCTCTGTGTGAGGGGACTTGGGGCTGCACGTGACACCCCAGCACTTGGTCTGAGGTTGTGTTAACAGAGGGAGCTTCTGTTGAAGAGGGAGGTGACTGAATTTTCCTCTGGACTGAAACATCCCTGCTGGAGCCAGGAGGAGCTGAAGAGGGTCAGGACACACAAGAAGCTACAGGTTCACGGAGCTGACACAATGTAGCGCTTCCCTCTCAGGGTTAAACCAGCTGCAGTTCCTGAGGGAGAGGAGACTGTGGAGTGGAGCTGCTGGGAGCTGTGCAGGGAACTGCAGTGGTGCAGCTGTGTGAGCGGACATGCGCACTGGGGTGGCTGTCAGTGGTTATCCCCGACTCACCCAGGCTCCTGTGAGGGACCAGTGAGCTCAGGGCTCACCAAGCTGACTGTGGATGGATGTTTTCCTTGGTCTGCTGTCACTGTCTCCCTCTGGGTGGAGGAAATCTGCTCCTCAAGCAAGGGACACAGCTGTGTGAATTGTTTATGTAAATTGTTCTATCATTAATAAATCTCAGAAGTCAGATATTGGGGTAAAACCTGATAGGTCAAGAAAGCAACAGAAGAAAAACCAGCTGACCCTCTCTCTCCCTGCTTCCCACATTGATATCCCCATGAATCTTTATAGGCCCCGCCCTTCTCTTTTCTCTGCCTCTCTATCTTATCGTATCCTGGGTCCTCCAAAACCTCTATGGCTAATTCCAGACAGCTGGTTCTTGACTGTGCCCCCTGATTCAAGGATAACTTTATTAACAGTCTTCAGTTTCACAGTACAATTAAATATCCCTCGACATTTCCCGTTTGTCTAAATAAATAAAAAGGAAAAGTTTTAACTCTAACATAGTGAAACTATGTACAATAAGAACAATTATTAGGTAGGAATTACATTTACATGTGGTGGTGGTGGCACACACCTTTAATCCCAGCACTCAGGAGGCAGAGACAGGTGGATCTCTGTGAGTTTGAGGCCAGCCTGGTCTACAGAGTAACTTCTAGGGCAGGCTCCAAAACTACAGAGAAACCCTGTCTCAAAACAAAACAAAAAACAAAAAGCAAACAGAATTACATTTAAATGTCCAATCCATTTGTATTTGATAAATTCTGAGAAATTATTATCTATGATACCTTAAAGTTTTACACATAAACCACTTTCTAATATAACTTGTGTTACTATCCTAAAACTATCTTTTTAGACCTTAGACATTTCTAAGATAACTATGTAAAGCTCATGTGTCTCTCAACCTTATAAACTTTACATCTCTTTTCTAAGTTTCTTTTCTGAATTTGGTAACAAAGAAAATGGTTTAACTATCTAATTTTCAACCCCATTAGAGACATGAAAAGAATAAACATTGCCTGAATATGCAGGAAGTGTGGCACAAACAACTTCCTTTTTCTTTTGTTTTGTTTTGTTTTTTGAGACAGGGCTGCTCGGTGTAACAGCCCTGGCTGTCCTGGAACTCACTTTGTAGACCAGGCTGGCCTTGAACTTCTGTCCCACAGCAGGTGACTCTTCTGACATGAGACAGAGATTTGGATTTCCCTTTAACAAGCCTGCTTGGGTTTAGAGAAGAAGAGAGACACACTCCAATTCAAAAGACAGCTTTAATTTTTAATTGAACTGGGACTACAAAAACACCATTTACGTTATATGTCTGTAGAGAACATAAACACAACATCTGGGAAGATTCATGAGAATTTGTTCTATTGGGTTTGTGCTATCCCATCAGGTCAATTACTCTCTCCCTGAGGATTCATCCTCCTTCTTCAGATGTCTCATCTGTCCAGTGGTCTTCAGATTCCTTTATTGGATGCTTGCTTTTATTCTCCTGGAAAGAAAAACCAGAACCTTTCCCCAACCCTACCTTTGCGGAGTTCCCATTTTTTTCCAGGTTTTGTCTGATCAAATGAAAGGCATTGGTCAGTCTTATAAGTCAGTTTAGACCTAATGACCACGATGTTTGTTGAATTATCACCTTTCATACTCAAGAGGTTTCTCCTGCTCAAATCAAAACTTTGTCCTTCTTGATGGAATCCACACCTTTCTTCCCCTGTGGAAACAAACGCAGAACCCCTTCCCCAACCGAAAACACACCCTGGTTTCCATTCTGAGGTCAACTCATCTTTATTCAGGCTGACTTAACTGGGCAGTTGTTTCTATTACCCGCTGTCTCTCCGCAGCTGACATCACTTCCTCGTTAGCATTTAAAATGTTACAGGTAACAGAGCATTGTGTGATCTGTCTTGGGTCTTTATTACTCCTTTCTGTTTATTAAGCAGAGCTCTTAAAGTGTGATTAGACCTTTCTATATCTGTTTGTCCTGTAGGGTTGTGTGGTACACCTGTAATATGCTTTATGTTATAATATGGAAAAGCCTGTTTTATTTTACAGGAGACATCTGCTGAAGCATTGTCTGTCTTAATTTGTACAGATATCCTCATGATGTAAGTGTGTAATTACAGAACCAGCCTTGTCAGAACCCAGACCAGTTCCCCATGTCAACCCTGAATATGTATATGATATAGTGCACATACTGCCATTTTCCAAACCTT